GTGCTTCCGAGCAGGAGCCCCCCATCCTTACCTTCAATGGGGGTGCAGTGAAACGAGTGGGCTATTTTGTTCCAGGCGTCTGTCACTTGTGTGTTCTGCAGGAAAGACACGGGAGAACCCGCTGAGGTGGAGAACTCGAGCCCCAGCCACGAGCGTTGGGTCCTGGCCATGTCCTGGCGTGGAGGCAGCAGCTTTCCCGCCACCCCCAGAAGCAGGAGGAGCAGTGGCAGGTGTCTGGGTTTAATCCTGCACCGACAGACCGGGCAGGGAGCGGGAGCTCAGACCCCAGCGTGAGGACACGGAGCTGGGGGAGCGAGGCCACGAGGATGATCCAGCAGCTCCCGTGCGGAGCCGGGTTGGGAACATCAGGGCTGGAGGAGAGGAGCTGCTGGAGAGCTCAGAGCAGCTCCCAGGGCCTGAACGGGGCCACAAGGATGCTGGGGAGGGACCTTCATCAGGGACTGGAGCGATGGGACAAGGGGCGATGGGTTCAAACTGCAACAGGCTGGATACAAGGAAGCTCTTCCCTGTGGGGGTGCTGGGACGCTGGGATGGGTTGGACGGGGAAGGTTTGGATGCCCCATCCCTGTTAAGGGCCGGGTTGGAGCCACCTGCTCCAGTGTGAGGTGGATCCGGATGATCTTCAGCTCCTTCCCAGCCCATCCCGGGGTTCTGCTCCCACCGCAGGGCCGGGCCTGGGCAGCGCCTGCCCTCACTCACCTGGTTTCCAGGCTTCACCAAGCGCAGGGCAGCCTCGGCACAGAGATGAGCCGCTTTGATCACATCAGCTTTCCGGCCTGACACGGGGTTGTCCTGCAGCACAGGGGACAAAAGGGCTTTTCAGGTGTGTCCCCTCCTTGCTTTATTCGCACCTCGAACCCTGTGTCAGTTCTGGCCCCTCACTGCGAGAGAGACATTGAGGTGCTGGAGGGGGCCAGAGAAGGGCACCGGAGCTGGAGCAGGGCCTGGAGCACAAGTGTGATGGGGAAGGGCTGAGGGACCTGGGGGGTTTAGTGTGGAGAAGAGAAGGCTCGGGGGGACCTGATCGCTCTCTGCAACTGCCTGACAGGAGGATGGAGCCAGGAGGGGGCTGGTCTCTGCTCCCCAGGGATGGGACGAGAGGAACCGGCCTCGAGCTGCCCCAGGGGAGGGTGGATGGGGACGTCCCCCAAGCCCTGGGCTCCCGGTGCCTCAGAACCAGTAGAAGGGGCAGCAAAACCAGTCTGCCCAGTGCTCGAGAGCAACCAACCAGCTCCTCGGCCCTGCCGGCTCCACGCGGAGCAGCAGCAGGTCCGTTCCCAACCCACCTTTGAGGCATCTATGACAAAACTGTGAGCTACATTCGCTATGAAGCCGTCGACGTGGACTCCCAGGTCGCTGCAACGCAAAGAAGGCTCATTAGAGGCCCGGGAAGCTTCTAGAAGCCTCCAATTAGTTTCTTTAGTAGGGAATTGTTAACAGCCTGAGCGGGATCGGGAAGCCGGGGGCATTCCTAAGACGCAGAAGGAAGCCACTCACATTTTGACCAAGTCTCCGTCTTTGAGGATGTAATCCTGGTCACTCTTCAGCGGGGAGAAGTGACAGACACAGTTATTTACTGATATACTCGTTGGGAAGGCGATACCTGCGAAGGGAAAAGGAAGCTGCCATCGGATCCCATCATGGAATGGGATGGCTTGGAAGAGCCCACGAAGCTCCTCCAGCTCCGAGGACACCTTCCACTGGGGCAGCTCCAGCCTGGCCTTGAGCGCTGCCAAGGATGGAGCTTCCAGGCCTTCTCCGGGCACCCTGATGTCCCAAGGGAATGACTTTCCGAAGGCATTCCCTTGGTTTTCTGCATCCTAACTGGATTTGGGAATGGCAGGCGATGCATGAGCCTTCCCTGGCTCCCCCATTCCCAACGGCACCAGCCCCCCCCAGATCCCTTTGGAAAGCCCTCACCTTTTTTCATTTCCTTTTCCTTCTTGAAGATCTTGCCGGTCTCTTCCATGATCATGGAATCTCCCTTCTCACAGAGGCACAGAACCGAGGCGCCCGAGGTGGCCGCTTCCAGCACCGCGCGCAGGACCCCTGGAGCCAAACACAGACACGGAGCCGCTGGAGCCCATTAAGAGCCTCAAACCTGCCATGCTCCGGTTTTCCAAGCGGGAACCAGGACCCTGGAGAGGCAGGGACAATCCTGCTGCGGTTCCCATTGGATCGCAGGCGGCGCAGGTCGAGGCTGTCAAGAGCCTACGACGCCGCCACATTCCTGCGGGAGAAGTCACAGCTCCAGGAACAGGTTTGGGAATGACGCCGGGACACGCCGCACATCAAAGGAGCGGGGCTGGGAGGCACGGAGCGGCTGGAAGGCTTCACTGGGCCCCCACAGCGAGCCCTGAGCTGCTGTTTGGCCTCTTCTTCCTCTCTCCAGCCCCCAGAACATTCCCAAATCCTGGAGTCAAAGCTTTGCTCCTGCTTCCAGCAGGTTGTTTTACCACTGGCCTCTCTTGACGCCGGGACACGCCGCACATCAAAGGAGCGGGGCTGGGAGGCACGGAGCGGCTGGAAGGCTTCACTGGGCCCCCACAGCGAGCCCTGAGCTGCTGTTTGGCCTCTTCTTCCTCTCTCCAGCCCCCAGAACATTCCCAAATCCTGGAGTCAAAGCTTTGCTCCTGCTTCCAGCAGGTTGTTTTACCACTGGCCTCTCTGCTGGAGGAGTTTGTGCTCCGGCGCCAGCACCGAGAGCTCAAGATGCCAAGTGAGAACCTGGAGCCTTTCGCTCGCGGGATGGAGGGAACCTCAGGTCCCGCCGGTGAGGAGGACCTGGGAATGCTTGAAGGGGATAACCCCCCGCTCCAGAGCCCCTCGGCGGGCGCGGGCCACGCCCAGCACTGACCACCTCCTACTTGCACTTCCACAGGGCGCTGCGAGCACTTTACACCACGGAAGCACCTCGCTCCATAAAGGACTCCCAGCATTCCAAAGCCACCACAATTCCCTGTTTCTCTTCCCAAGCACCGTCCTTAATCCCAAGCAGCGACCTCCCTTCCCAAAGGAAGGGCTCCCTCCCGAGCAGTTC